TATACATACAACATTTTTAATTTGCGTCAAAAATAATTGTTTGTAAATTGAAAATGAAACGAAAAATTACAATTGAAATTTCCCTGCAACGTTTGGAAATCTAAAGGCAATATTACTGTTAAGAATTTTTATTTTCATTCGTTTTTGCATTTGACAACTATTGTTAAAACAGTAACAAACAACATGTGAAAACAATTTCAGATTTTGTTTCATTGTGAAACAGTTATATAACAGTCCTGCAGCATGATTGTTTTATTTTGTATGAAAAATCATGTTTAATTTAGCCTGATTAAGAAAAAATCCTCATTCAATTTTTAATCATCATGAAATGTTATATATAAATCCGCTTTAAAAGACATTCAAAATGAGATGTAACGTTGATAAGTTTCCGATCCCAATAGCATTATGGATGAACTGTGTAAACTCTACCCGTATATGGGGGCTATGTCAAAACGTAGAACGATAAAGATTTATTTTGATTTATAAATAATAAAAAAAAAACAAGAGAAACCAATGAATACAAGAATAGTTTTTGGTTTGTTGATGGCGTTAAACGAGGTGATAAGAGGTTGGAAACATCCTTAACGAAAAATTATTATTAAAATCTGTAATGTAAATATCACAAGGATGTAATATTACGGAGTGGGCAGATGTTAACGATAATATAGGTCACAATAGGTTGAGGTCACGATAGGTTGTGTAACTTAAACATTTGGCGCCCACATATCACATTTTTACAATAACAAAAGAAATTTAAACAATGTCGAATGTTGTTAAATGTTACAGAATAGGCCTACAGTTTAACTATTTTTTATTTTTAATTCAGTATTTCATTTTTAAATAGTTCCATAAATCTAAGACGTGTGACACAATAGGAGGACGCGGACGTTCGGTCCATTTGAGACCCCGCGATAAATATGTATTTTTGGCAGTTATGTCGAGGTCCGTAACTATAATCTCTTTTGCATGTCATTCGTAACATCAGTTTGGCTCAATATTATTTTTTCCAAAATCCTATTATACTACAGGATTCGAAAACTTTAAATATTTTAAAAAATGTATTTATTTAATGTTCGCCGTAATTCAGAAACTAAATATTTTAGTTTTGTTGTTTAATTTATCCAGTGCTATTTCAACTGTGTTCGTGATCTGTGTATTGAAATGTTTGGGAAAATTAAACAACACTATTATGAAGCATCTTAATGAATTTCTACCACGAATACATGCAACATAGAAAGCGGATCTTGTCATCCATCTACGAGAGTACACAGCGACCTTCGCACCTTTTATAAACTGTCTTACATCTCTCCCAACATTTCTTCCGAAAACTTCGTGCAAACTGTTTTTGAAGTTAAAGATCCTTATTTAAAATCAATATATTTTTCAAATATTGCTCAAAATCCTTATGTAGACATTTACTTAAAACATTCTGAATTAATTAAATGAATACCAGTCTTAGAAACATCAAGATTTCATTTGGAGACTTTAATTTGCTTATATTAATTGGATTTTGGTTTTGTTGTACCTGTTTTTTCAACAAGCCAGGGTCTGAGCTTGTGGATGCTTTTTGGGAGACTATATTTTATCGGTGTTTACTACAAATAAACATAAGAAATACCAATAATAGAATTCTTGGCCTTATTTTTTTTCTTTCCCAAACGTGTGATTGTCTAGATGTTCTCCATTTGCAGAAGATAAACATCACCCTACTTTATGTTTAAATTTGGAACTGCAAGATAATTCTTTAAATAACACTGTGAAGCAAAAGCCAAATCGTAAATTAAATTTTGTGAAGATTAACTTCAATCAATTGCGTGACACGTTATCTAATACTAAGTGGGAATGTAAAAATAGCTTAAATTCATGTGTTTCATATTTTTATATATCCGTATCATAGACGTTGACGTAATCTTAAAAGCAGACTATTTAAAGAGTTTAAAAAATATAATACTCTTGTGAACTACACAAATTATTCTAAACCATAAATACAATACTGGGAACTTAAAAATGAGACTAAGTCTTTTTCGAATCCTAAAAGCTTTTATAATTTTGTTAATTCTAAAAGAAATGTTCGTGAATTTCCAAGTTTCATGAGGTATGGTAGTAAAAACTCCAGTGATACATCTGAAATAGCAGACAGGTTCGCAGATTTCTTTCGAAGCACTTTCTCCGCATTGACATTTAACTCAAATTATGTTTTTAATATTGACAAAATTAACAATTTCCCAAAATTTCTTCTAACAGAGAATGAAGTTTTAAATGGTCTACGTTCGATTAAATATTGCTGTTCCCCAGGACATGATGGAGAACGGGCGAACATACTGAGAACTTGTGCTTATGAACTATATAAACCCCTTGTTTAGGGGAGGGACTTGCTCGACTCCTCGCCGTTGTTGATGATGGCGATGTGCAAGGAATTAACTCAAGGGAGAGGGGGGATGCGAACGACAACGAGAGCTCCCAAGCAGTTAATGGTGATGATTAGTTTAATTATTCTAAATATCTTTGTTTTGTTGGTGATTCTTCTTCTTTTCGTACAACAAATAAATTACCTTTGTGTAATTTGGTGTGGTGGCGTCAGAGGCCTGTTAGTGCTAACACGTAGATATTAGCTCGACAAGAGTTAGTAAGCAAGTTGACTCTTCGATAGCTACAAGATAAGTGACGTGAGAGCTCTTGTGATCGCAGAGGATCGCTTATCTATTTCTACTAATACATATACATATTCCAATGAGTGAAAATAACAAGGAGAGCAAAAGAACTACTTCCCCCGCTGGTAGGTCATCCGCGCCCTACGGTATCCGCAGAGGGAATGTGTAGGGGAGATGCCAGTAATGCCAATCAGCATCCGTGATTGATCCAGCTCAGGAAGTGGTGTCAGAACATATCAAAAATATACATTCCTGCCCCCTTGCTACGACCGACAATGTATCAATTAAATATTAAATTGGAATAATGGTGATTTATTAAAGGTATAAATGAACGTAAATTCAGATTTCATGTGAGCTTTCAAGGTTACAAGTTACTAGTTCAGTAAGTGATAAATTCATAAATAGGTGATATGTGTAATTAAACGATATTAGTATTAATCAAATGGTCGATTACAATCTACGATTTCTGGTGCGAGATTAGGTGCTAGTAAGGGGAGGAAGCGAACCAGTGAGTAAGTACCCGAAAATAGACTTTTGGGCCAACAACGAATTCAAAACAATTTTTGGGGGTTCAGCTTCCAATATTTGGGGGTACAAATCTGCGCCAAGTAGCAAATCTATTGGGCTGCCATCAAAGGTATCAGCTAAATCTAAAGGAATTTTAGATTTCAACGTCGAAATAGGTGGAGGTGAAGACAATTTCCCCTTAACACTGGGCCGAACAAGTGCTTTTGCTTCAACAATTTTACAATTTTTAGGGGACGACAACTGTAGAGAACAAACTTCTCTTGGTGTAGGAGATTTGCAATCTTTCTTCGAATCAACCGAAATGTTAAGTGCATTTTTAAGTCTTTTACTAACAATAGATACCATTGAAGAAGCATCAATAATGGCACGCGCTGGATGCGTTTTCCCATTATTAACAACATTTACCACAGCTGTTCCCAAGAGCACATTACTATCCTGGGCGGTAATAGGTACGGGAGTAGGCCAAATAAGTGGACTGTATATTTACTCGAGAATTGCGGTTGTAACTCCGTTGAAAGTAAATCTTTGTTTTTGGTTAGAATGAAAGACGGTATGCTTTTGTATTAGAATGTTTTAAATGAACAGCTAAGGTTTTATTCGTTCTTATTTCAGTTACTGTTGAAAACCAAGTGAGTTCAAAATGGCTATGCATATTTCTCTCGCAGACATTTTCTTCATAAAGATGTAGGAACAATTGGTATTAAAAAACCTTTCCTCCGTTGAGTGGAAACTCAATGGATTTAAGGTTGCCATATTTGTAAGTTAATATCAGTTAATAAATTCAAATGTAAATTATGAAATAAGAAAAATTCAGTTTGTAGGTAATTCATTATGTTCTTAACTCTAAGTTGTTGAACGCGGTTCAACATGCCGCCCCCTTAAAATTGACAGCTTCCGGATATAATCCAACCGAAGGCTGAACTTTGCGCAATGGGCATGTTTGAAGCGGTTTGAATTAGTCCAGCACGTAAAATTTTGGGAATTTGGTCGTTGGCCAGTAATATTTCAATGTTGACCGGGTTAAAAAAATGCGGATCTGCCAGATCCGTAAGATGGTTGTAAATAGACTGAAGCCTTTTTTCTTTGGTTGCTTCTGGAGTAGACATATTCAGTTGTTTTTGTACTTCGCCAGTGATGTGAATCTTGACGGATGGATCGTGGAACGATTGTAGGTTTATGGCTGTAAACGTTTTTCCAGCTCTTTGGGTGAGTGGCAAGTCCAATCTCTCTACCAGCTTGATGGATATCATCGTTTGTGCGGAGCCAGAGTGTAACATTAGGCGTACCTTGTCGCAACCCTCAACTGTAACAACCTTTGCCAGCGCAGTAGGAAGGAACACGTGAGATTTTGAGCGAGAACTTAATCGATCGCTAACGTTGGAACAGTGACGTTGAGTTGAAGAAGCTTGTTTGGATGTTGTTGTTGGTGACTTCTTTTCGCGTTTGTTAGGGCGACTCTGACGGCTCTTGTATGGTTTCGGTTCTGGACTGGGACTGAGTGACTTGGAACGTTCTCTTTGGGTAGTTTTGGAGGACTGCTGATTAGATTTAGCATCCATATGTAGCATAGTGTGATGTGCCTTGTGACATACCATGCACGTTTTTCGACTAGGGCACCATTCACGGGTATGAGCTGTACACAAACAGTTGAAGCAAAAGCCTTTGTCTTTTGCTTCGGTGCGACGTTTTGATACAGGCATTTTTTGGAAGGTGGGGCATGATTTTATGAAATGCCTATCTCGGCAGATACGACATTTTGGAACACTAGAAGCGGTACTGAAATGTAAATTGTTATTAGGTAAGTGAGCATAGAGTTGAAAGCTAACAGTTAGGTAGAATGCAAAGTTTAACAACAGGGCGTATAATGATTCCATTTTGCGTGCGGATTTCCGCAACGCGAACTTTGAAATCTTTACCCGTAAACACCTTAACAACGCGTCCAAGCCGCCATTCAGTAGGAGGTAGATTATCCTCTTTTATAACGACGAAATCATCAGGTTTTAAATCTCGTTGAGTTTTCTTCCATTTGTATCTACGTTGAAGCTCTGTAATATATTCATTTTTCCAGCGTTGGGCAAAGTGTAGTTGAAGAGTCTTTAGTCTTTGCCATCTATTCATCAACGACAGGTTGTCTGAGAATTGTTCTGGTATAGCCATAAGAGGAGCACCTCGCAACAAATGACCTGGAGTTAATGGCACTAACTCAGATGGATCTTCGTTTATCGGGGACAATGGTCTGGAATTCAGTATGCTTTCGATTCTTACTAAGAGTGTAGAAAACTCTTCGTAAGTGTATTTTAAATGTCCTGCAACTTTTCGGAGATGAGTTTTCATACTTTTTACCGCCGCTTCCCAGATGCCACCCATATGTGGTGCTTGGGGCGGGATAAAGTGCCAAGAGAAACCATGTATATTATATTTTTCCACCAGATGTTGTTCAGCGGATTGTAGGAATTGAGTATATTCTTCAGCAAGTAAGCGGTTGGCTCCAACAAAGTTGGTTCCATTATCAGAAAACATTTTATTCGGGAAGCCTCTTCGTCCAACAAATCGGCTAAAAGTAGCTATGAATGCTTCTGCTGTTAATTCTGAACATACTTCCAAATGTATGGCACGAGTTGACATACATACGAATATAGCGGCATAACCCTTTTGTATTTTTGCGTTGCGAAGCCGAGAAGTTTTGAGTTCAAAAGGACCCGCGAAGTCAAGTCCTGTATTGGTAAAAGGTAATGAAAATGTACAGCGTTCTGGGGGTAAAGCACCCATGATTTGATTTTGAAATCGGTGTTTATAAATGGCACATCTGTTACAATTGCGGATGCATTGACGTACAATACTCTTCAATCGTATCACAAAGAACTCCTGACGGATTGTTCGTAACATAGCCTGATGTTCTGCATGTAGTAGTAGTTCGTGAGTGTAGTCTACGAATAGTTTACAAAATCTTGATTTCTCAGGTAAAATGATTGGACTCCGTTCGTTATAACTTAGGTCAGCATTTGCAAGGCGACCATCTGCTCGTAGTAATTTATTCTCATCGAGGACTGGATTCAAAGTCAACAATCTACTCTTAGTGGGTATAGGCTGATTCGTTTCGAGAGCTTTGTATTCCCACGGAAAATAAGTTATTTGTGCCAATCGAATCAGATAGTATTTTACAAAAGAAATCTCTTCAGCCGTTATGACATTCTTATGCAGGTTAGGCGACAACATTTTTCTGCATCCATGTATGAATCGAAATATGTAGGAACAGACTCGTAAAGCTCGCTTTAAAGAAGAAAATCTCCCCAATAAATCGTCTCCTGCTACCTGAGCATGAAGCGCAATAACTTTTCTTTCAAGCTGTGGTTCTTTGAGGGTGACCTGATTTGGCCAATGAACTTCATCTTTATTTAACCAATTTGGTCCATTCCACCACAGAGAATTGGACTGTAATTCCTCAGCAGTGCAGCCACGAGTGCCAAGATCTGCAGGATTATCTACAGAAGAAACATGTCTCCAATTTACATTACCAATATTGTCAAGAATCTCAGAAACCTTATTTGCAACAAACGTTTTCCAATGGAAAGGCGGTTTACTGATCCAAGCTAGAGTTATAGTGGAATCAGTCCATAAATATATTTCCGACGTTGAGAGCTCCAAGTTTTGGCAAACAGATCTTACAAGCTTAGAAAGCATTGCTGCACCACATAATTCTAATCTGGGCAGGCTAACAGTTTTTAATGGAGCTACTTTACTTTTAGACACAAGTAAATTGATATATGTAATATTGTGAGAGGAAGTTGAACGTATATACAAGCAGGCACTGTAAGCTTTCTCTGAAGCATCGCAGAAGCCGTGAATTTGTATTTTATTGTCAGGAGCAAAACGTACCCAGCGAGGTATTTTGATTTTCTGTATGTTAGAAAAATTCAAAATGAAAAATTTCCATCTTTCGAAGGAATGTTGTTTGACTTCTTCGTCCCAATTCGTACCATCAATCCACAATTGTTGCATCAAAAGTTTGGCGACAAATAATTGGGGTTAGCCATCCAGCTGGGTCAAACAACTTGGCAACAATGGATAAAATTTTTCGCTTTGTAACAGATTCGGTTGGTAAATCGATGTGTGTCACATTGTAGAAGAAGTAATCGGAAATGGCATTCCACTGAATGCCCAGAGTTTTGGTTTCACTAACATCATCGATTTTTAAAAAGTCTTCGCTAAGAAGATCATCTGGTTGAATGTTTTTAATAATTTGCGGGTGATTCGAGGTAATCTTTTTTAGTGGAAATCCTGCGGAACTTAACAAATCAATCATCTCGTGAAGGTATGATGTTGCCTCGATTAAAGAATGGGCTCCAGATAATATGTCGTCAACATAAATTTGATTCCTCAGAATAGAAGATGCGGATGGGTGTGATTCTCTGCTGTCATCACTTAATTGAAGCAATGTTCGAATTGCCAAATATGGTGCACAATTTACCCCGAAGGTAACGGTTTGTAAACAAAAATCTTGAACTTTCTCCACTGGAGAAGTTCGAAACAGAATTCGCTGGTATTGCTGATCATCTTCATGAACGAAAATTTGGCGGTACATTTTTTGAATGTCGCCATTGAAAACATATTTATATAATCTCCAACGTAAAACAACATTCATTAACTCATTTTGTAAAGTTGGACCAGTGTAGAGCATGTCATTTAATGAAAAACCACTGTCAGTTCTTTTTGAGGCATTAAAGACAACTCTTACTTTCGTGGAGGTTCGCTCAGGCTTCACTACTGCATGGTGTGGCAAGTAAAATGAAAGGAATTTTGAATTGTCAACGATTTCGAAACTGTTGGTTGGTCTCATGTGACCTAAGGAAATGTACTCGGAAAGAACTTTGTTGTATTCCGAAGCAAGGTTAGGATCCTTATCAAGTGTCTTTTCCATCCTCAGAAATTGGCCCATTGCAGCACGTCTAGAAGACCCAAGGTACTGGGTAGATGGCAGATTCTGTTTAAAAGGTAAACGAACAACATATTTGCCATCATTTCTTCGATAAACAGTATCTTTGTAAAACTCTTCGCACCAAAGATCAGATTCGGAAAGACAGTTTTCGTTTGAAACATTCTCAATTTCCCAGAATTTTCTTAACTCTTCATTCAAAGGATCTACCGTGACCGTCCAAGAAGCAAATGAAACAACAGATCGTGGTTTGGGTTTCCCACTAACGATCCACCCAAATTCGGTGTCTTGCGCTAACAAATTTCCTGAAATATTCTTTTCCAATCCAGGTTTGATAATAGTTGGTAAGATATCACTACCGATCAACATGTCGATAGGAGCTGGTTTGAAAAAGTTTGGATCGGCTAGCTCTAGGCCTGATAACTTCGTGAAATCGTCTATTGCATTAATAGATGATGGCATCAACTGATTTAAACTAGAAACGACAATGGCAGATGCGGTAATCTTAAATTCTGATCTTCTAGATTTTAGGGTTAATTCACACATTCTGGATGAATTTTCAAGGAGTGTGCCGCCAAGGCCAGAAATAGTTGTAAAGGATTTCTTGGTTGGTATTTTAAAGCGTGTTATCACACGGCTTGAAACAAATGATTCCTGCGAACCTTGGTCAATGAATGCACGAATTGTGAATAGTATACCTTGGTGCTCAAGGTCGATCAATGCGGTGGGCAGAACAGTTTTTTCTCCTGATTGAGCAAAATTGGATTGAACATACGAGGTATCTGCATAAGCTTCAGCGGGTGTTGTGGGCGGTTCGTCGTAGTAGGTTTCGACGTGGTATGCGGATGCAGACTTAGGTGCCTGCCATTTTGAATTGGGTTGAGAACCCGCGGGTTTTGAAACAGAGGAACCCTCATTAGGGTGTAACAAAGTGTGATGTTTTTGTTTGCAGGTTTGACAAACATGTTGGCTCTTACATTTTTTCGAGATATGGCCATATGATAAACAGTTTTCACAGATTTTGCTGTCGAAAACAAATTTACGTTTTTCCGAATGTGACCAAGATTTGAAAGTGGAACATGACCTTAGATGATGGGATTGTTGGCATACTTTACATGCCTTATGCGGAGAATCAGTGGAAGAGTTGTAATTGTTGGTCTTTTGGGAATAAGTTGAATGGGATTTTGGTGTTTTCATATCCGAAATCGACTCTATCATGTACAACCGTTTGGTTAGGAAAGAATCTAATTGGTCCCAGGATGGCATTTCTTTATGATTGGAAAGTGAATTCTCCCAAGCAGTCAACGTTTCCTCTGGTAACTTGGAGGAAACCCAATAAACCAGAATAGGATCCCAGGAAATAACCGAAACACTATAAGTTCGCAGAACTGAGAGACAATTATTAATGGTATATTGGAGATTCCGTAATGTTTTGCCTTTTTCATTTGAAATATGGTCAATTTCGAAAATCTTTCTAAGTTGATGATTTATGAGAATACGCTTATTCTCATATCGCTGGCGAAGGGCTTCCCATGCCAACTCAAAATTATTATCGGTTAACGGAAATCTCTTGACTATTAAGCTTGCTTCGCCTCTAGTTTTGGCTCGCAAATGAAACAATTTTTGTGCTGGAGATAATTTTTGATGATTGGAATATATAGCAGTGAACATATCCCTGAAACTTGGCCAGTTATCGTATCCACCACTGAAGACCTCCGTATCACACGCAGGTATCTTTAACGAAAAACTTGTGTCATTGCTTGCAACTTTATTTTCTTCCTTAGATTTTGACACTGAACCCAAAAGTTTTTGTTGTTCGATCTGAATCAGGTCGAGAATTGAGGATTTGCATTCCTTATACGATCGACAACATTCTGAAAACTTGCCATGCATCGCCCCTTTGGCTTCTTTTGACAAATTGGAATCGGATGAAGTCATTTCGTCATCATAAACATGAGCAAGCTGACGCCAACGCCTCTCTAGATCATCAAGCTCAACTTGTAGGCTGGAGGCTGTGAAATTTTCAATAGCCATTTGGCCAAAATCAGCACAAAACGTAATAATTTGGTCGGAAAAGAATATAAATTTCTGAGGAGGGACGGCATTTTCAGCACCGGAATCTTCAGTATTGGTCATAATGAGGTATTGGTTAACAATTGAAATGATACAACTTAAGCAAAACTGTGTTCAATTAGTCGAAATTTCTACAATATTTGAAAATATTCAAAAAGAGAATGTTTTTTATTGTGCAATCCCGACTTATGGTATTGAACAGAAAATCAAGTACTCCTTGCAATTCTACATCCAATTCTTGTCTTTATTAAGAATACAGACAAATACCGTGAGAATTTTACCAGTACAGAAAAATATTGCGCGAAAAAAGTAGGAAGTAGTATCAAGACCAAATCAATCAACAGCGGTTTGAATGGGTGTAACCAATATGTATTCGTACAGCACTTAGATTTTAACTTTTGGTATAAAATATGTTTGGAATGTAAAGCAGTATTAAATCTGTTCGCCTTTTTTTGTTAGAATTTGTTAAACTTTGGCGTTTGTGTTAATTCCAGAATCGAGGGATTAAATTTCGGTCTTTGTAAGATTAAAAAATTTTTTACTGAGCTCGAAATGACCTGTAACTTGTCAACTATCGTTAAGTATTCACTTGCAACCTTGTTATGGGTTATCCAACGAACAATCAAATCTAAACTCTATTCGATCTTCTTTAAATACTTCACCCAATGTTCATATACAGGAAGTGAAATTATGCACTGCAACATGAAACTTTCGACGAAATAGCACCTTTTTCGAAATGCTTAAAAGTGCAATATAATCATCGTGCTATAAAAAAATCAACCAAGAAAACTAACCAGAGCAGCAGAAATTGTTTTCTTCACTTATAAACGAACGTAAAAGAACGAATAAGTCACTTATTTCGCCCTCACAACGAAAATTGATTGAATACACACAAGATAAATCTCGCCAACAACGAAGTAGCGTTTCGAGAAGTATTGACAAAAAATTTTGGCAAACTATTATTTGTTTAGTTTCAAATTGAAAGACCTGTAGCGTAGTGTCTTTGTTCGCAAACTACTGTTGTTGGTTTAAAGACGCATGCACTGTACTTACAGTTTAATTTTGGTTGCTTTTCATTCCACATAGATATCCAATAGTTGAATTTTCTTGTTGCTGGTTTTTGTTACTGGCGAAATATTGTATAATTTTAATAATCTCCTGCCCCAGCAAAAAAAAAAAAAAAAAAAAAAAAAAAAGAAAACCAAATTTAAGGAACGGATCAAATTCGAATATCAATGATATACTTAACAGACAAACCCTTTGTTTTAGAGTTTAAATGAAATCAGCTTAAAAAAATTCCTTTGGCAGAGATATCCGTGGTGTAGTATATCTTTTTGTATATTAATTTGTAGTTAATTTCTATCCTTATTTAGCAACTCTTAATTGGTTGTTGATATGTTGACAAAAAAGTGTTTGTCTTCCAGCGAAAATTATAGCAACATTCACCCACAGTGGGCTGTACAGTATTATGCTTGTTTACTTTTTTAGTTGGCCATCGTTGTTCCTTTTTGTTCTAACATTTGTATTCCTCCTTCTTCGTTATGCTTTGTTTGGGGATTTTTTTTTTTTTTTCTTTCGATTTCGTTACGATTATCACATATTTTGTTTTGGTAAAAATATACCGTTGTTTATTTGAAATGGAATTCCACAACTTGATAATTTTGTAACTTTCTTCTTCTTCCCCAATCGATTAAAAAAAAATAAATACTTTTGACATCAACTTCTTTTTATTAGTGAACGCGTTGTAAAACCACCGTGTATTTACTTCCACTTTTTTTTTTTTTTTTTTTTTTTTTAATGGCAGATGGTAAATATTTTTTGGCGTTTTAAAATTTTTTCTTTAAAATATTCAGCTCCTTCAAAAACGTATTACACAAAAGGCAATTGTTGTTCTTCGAAATAATAAAATAAAAAGAATTTTTTCTTTACGCGTTGATGTTTCCTCTTCGGCAAATTAGTTTAAATGACAATATAGATCTTAATTGCCGGCAGTTGATGTGAGGTGTTAGACTTAACGCTCTCTTTATTCTAACTCTGATTGCCTTTTTTACACAAATGCTGAAACACAGTTGCTGAAACAAACTGACCAAAGAGAATTTTAAACAGCTGCTGAAACCCAACCAACCAAAGAGAATTTTTGTTGAGTGCGCCCTTTTTTGATGTATGTTGTTGTGTGGTAGCAATCGAAGCAACTACTACTGAAATGTAGTTTGGTTTTGTTGTTATAATAGACAATATTGGCGGACGATGTTAAAAATGTTGCAGGGTTTAATAACCTGTAGCTGATGAGTGCGTTTATGCAATGTTGCTGTAATGTTGACTAGCATATAAGAGATTTTTGTTGTTTTTGACTATGATATACAGTCGTTTATATTTTGTATTGAAATGCGAAATGTAAAGACCAACAGAATGTTCTCACCCAATCTCTTGTAGATGAACGATTTTGTTTTTGTGATTGTAGGAACTAAAGAAGGTCGAATAAAGATGTTGCGTAACTTTGTAGCAACAAACTTTTTTTGCTTTTCCTTTTGTTCTTGCGGATGCTTTTTACAGCGTTTTTGCGGGACAACTTCTCTTATTATAAAGAGAATATTGACAATAGCGGCGACTTGGATGGTTGCGGTTGAAAACAATTGTTTAAATTTCGCAATTTATCTTTTGATATTTAAACTTTTTTTTTTTTTTTTTTCTTAGGAAACAAAACTCTGTGCTCACAAACTAATAACTTTTTACATACCTTCTTTCCATTTTAAATAAGTCGTGTGAAAAATATCAAGGCAATGCGGCGGACGTAATCCTTTTTTAAAATCGCTTGTTAATTCCTCTACGGCTCGTTTGGACCATGTACGTTCTCGGGAGTAGGCCAAATAAGTGGACTGTATATTTACTCGAGAATTGCGGTTGTAACTCCGTTGAAAGTAAATCTTTGTTTTTGGTTAGAATGAAAGACGGTATGCTTTTGTATTAGAATGTTTTAAATGAACAGCTAAGGTTTTATTCGTTCTTATTTCAGTTACTGTTGAAATGTGGAAAAAAGTGGGGACTCTGTGTAGAAAACGCCATATTGCGCAAAAACTAAAATGGATGCAGTATTGATACGCACATCAATTGAAAGGTCTCGAAATGTACTTTCAGAATATATACACCCTATGCCGAAAAACAAACTTTCGCCTAACGGACTTTCTCGATTTTCCTTGCAAGTCTCAGTGACAGTGGGGACTCTGTGTAGAAAACGCCATATTGCGCAAAAACTAAAATGGATGCAGTATTGATACCCACATCAATTGAAAGGTCTCGAAATGTACTTTCAGAATATATACACCATATGCCGGAAAACAAACCTTCGCCTAACGGATTTTCTCGATTTTGGTTGCAAGGTAGCAGGGACTCTGTGTAGAAAACGCCATATTGCGCAAAAACTAAAATGGATGCAGTATTGATACCCACATCAATTGAAAGGTCTCGAAATGTACTTTCAGAATATATACACCCTATGCTGAAAAACAAACTTTCGCCTCACGGACTTTCTCGATTTTCCTTGCAAGTCTCAGTGACAGTGGGGACTCTGTGTAGAAAACGCCATATTGCGCAAAAACTAAAATGGATGCAGTATTGATACCCACATTTCAGAATATATACACCTTATACCGAAAAACAAACCTTCGCCTAACGGATTTTCTCGATTTTGGTTGCAAGTCTCAGTGACAGTGGGGACTCTGGGTAGAAAACGCCATATTGCGCAAAAACTAAAATGGATGCAGTATTGATACCCACATCAATTGAAAGGTCTCGGAATGTACTTTCAGAATATATACACCTTATACCGAAAAACAAACCTTCGCCTAACGGATTTTCTCGATTTTCATTGCAAGTCTCAGTGACAGTGGGGACTCTGTGTAGAAAACGCCATATAGCGCAAAAACTAAAATGGATGCAGTATGAAGACCCACATCAATTGAAAGGTCTTGAAACGTACTTTCAGAATATATACACCTTATACCGAAGAAAAAACTTTGCTAAACGGATTTTCTCGATTTTCCAGTGACAATGGGGAGTCTGTGTAGAAAACGCCATGTTGTGGAAAAAAGTGGGGACTCTGTGTAGAAAACGCCATATTGCGCAAAAACTAAAATGGATGCAGTATTGATACGCACATCAATTGAAAGGTCTCGAAATGTACTTTCAGAATATATACACTTTATACCGAAGAAAAAACTTTGCTAAACGGATTTTCTCGATTTTCCAGTGACAATGGGGAGTCTGTGTAGAAAACGCCAGGTTGTGGAAAAAAGTGGGGACTCTGTGTAGAAAACGCCATATTGCGCAAAAACTAAAATGGATGCAGTATTGATACGCACATCAATTGAAAGGTCTCGAAATGTACTTTCAGAATATATACACCCTATGCCGAAAAACAAACTTTCGCCTAACGGTATATGCAGTATGAAGACCCACATCAATTGAAAGGTCTCGAAACGTACTTTCAGAATATATACACCTTATACCGAAGAAAAAACTTTGCTAAACGGATTTTCTCGATTTTCCAGTGACAATGGGGAGTCTGTGTAGAAAACGGCCATGTTGTGGAAAAAAGTGGGGACTCTGTGTAGAAAACGCCATATAGCGCAAAAACTAAAATGGATGCAGTATGGAGACCCACATCAATTGAAAGGTCTCAAAATGTACTGTCAGAAAAACTTTGCTAAACGGACTTTCAGAATATTACACCATATGTGAAAACAAAGTTCGTGTAACGGAACGCCATTTTGTTGCTAAGTGAAAGTGGGGACTCTGTGTAGAAAACGCCATATTGCGCAAAAACTAAAATGGATGCAGTATTGATACGCACATCAATTGAAAGGTCTCGAAATGTACTTTCAGAATATATACACCCTATGCCGAAAAACAAACTTTCGCCTAACGGACTTTCTCGATTTTCCTTGCAAGTCTCAGTGACAGTGGGGACTCTGTGTAGAAAACGCCATATTGCGCAAAAACTAAAATGGATGCAGTATTGATACCCACATCAATTGAAAGGTCTCGAAATGTACTTTCAGAATATA